CTACTTGGAAGGCTGAGGTGGAAGGATCGCCAGAGCCCAGCAAGTTGATGCTGGGGTGGCCGTGAGTGTGCCACAGCCCTCCAGCCTGGACAACAGAGTGAGACTCCAACTCAAAAGAAAAAAAAAAAAGAAACACAGGCTTACCAGACATTCCTTAAATGCTTACTTGGCAGCTACAGTGCTAAGAGCTAAAAATAAACATGAGGCATGCAGGTTTTTCTCCTTGAAGAGCTCACGGCCTAGAGGAGGCTACAGAGTACATGATTGCAGGTGCAGAACCACACAGTACATGCTCTAGGGACCTCTGTCCAGAGGACTATGGGGACTAAGAGGACAGGCCAGCGTGGCTGCAGGGAGACCAGTGGGGAGAGAAGGCTGAGACCTATTCTGTGTGTCTAGGAACAGACTCACTGCAACCAGGCCAGGGAATGGGTGGAGGAAGGGAGGGACCGCCCGCTGAGCCATGTCCAGTGTGGGGGAGGGGCGGCACTGAGTGGCTTTCAGTGACTCCTGGTGAAATAAAGAAAGCGCGACCATGTGGAAAAGAAACCATGGGTCAACCTGGTGTCAGCTGGACTTGGGGTCGAACTGGGTTGCTCCTGTCTGTTTCTCAGGACTCAGGCCTCTCTGACTCCTTCTCACAGTCGGCACATGGCCCTTCTGTGACTCAGCGCCAGGCCCCCACCTGACTGTGGTCTCTCTGAGCTCCTACTCTCAAGAGAAGAATAAGCAGAGGTTCTGCACAGCCTGTCCAGGACCCCGGGAGAGTCAGCCAGGCAGTAGCACCCACAGGCAGCTCGGACAATGGGCAGGGTGGTTTTGATTTAAAGGAAATGTTGGTGATATGGCAGTGCTTGGTGTCTCTGACTTGAATCTGTGATTTGAGTCATGAAAGATAAGTGGAACTGGAATAAGCCAGGAACAGAAAAGAGCTCTGGCAAGAGGCCAGGAGAACAGGGACCCGGGCCTCAGGACAGCCTGTGCCTTCCTCAGGAAGGAAACAGGGGCAGTTGCACAGCACAGGCTCTGAAGGGGGCAGGGAAGACATTGCTTAGGTGGATCAGGAAGTGCGTCCTGCCTGCTTGGCAGCCTTGGTTGTATATACTCGTCAGCAGGAAATATAGGAGGACTTCGTGTTTGTGGGTTTGTGTTTCAGCCACTGTACTCCAGTCTGGGTGACAGAGCGAGACTCCAACTCAAAAAATTAAAAATAAAAATAAAAGTAAAATTAGCAGCTTTATTAAGATATAATTCATAGCCGGGTTCGGTGGCTCAGCCTGTAATCCCACGCCTTTGGGAGGCTGAGGTGAGTGGATTGCCTGAGCCCACTGCCCGCAGGTTCAAGACCC